GGTTTATAATGTTGTTGATAGTCCCTCTCATCTAGCAGAAGGGAAAACTGTCGATTGAAAGGTGAAAGAAGCAAAAAAAAGATTGAAAAGAAGAAGAAAAAGAGAAAAGGAGAAAAAATAAGAAAATTGCGAAGAAATCACATTTTTCTGGTGTACTGCTTGTCTCTTCCATGATGGATTTCCTTTTCATCGTTATGAGCAAAAAATATTGATTGACACGTTTCTTTCTTTGGATAGCTCTCATAGATAGCGAAAAAACTCAAAAATTTCAGAGACAATTTCCTCAATTCTGATTTTGACCAATCAGAGTGCAGTATTCTGAGTCACGTGACGCGTTTCACACTGATAATTTCCCCGACTGCAGGGAAATCGGACTGATAATTTCCCTGTAGCCTGTCAATTGTTTTCTACGAATTTGACAGATAATCCTCATATTTTGGTGAGATGTGTCCCGTAACCCCGAACACTGCACCCTGATCGGCCAAAATCAGAATTGAAGAAATTGTCCTCCGTATACCCCTTCAGAATTCATCGGATATTTCCCTCAAGGTTTCCTGCATATCAACGATCGGGATCAGTTTTGCAGATTAAAATCCCGAGCGCGTAGCGCTCGGGATTTTACTGCAAAGCTGATCCCTCTCATTGCTATGCAACAAAACATTCGGGAAATATCCGATAATTTTGAAGGTCTTGGGGTATTATTGAAAATTTTTTCCCGACGCATCGTTTCTCTTTCCTATCGTGATGAATCTCTTTCCTAACTCATATTTATCAAAGGTATGGATTGAAATATCAATTTCTTAATAAGGACGAGGCAGCTCTCCTAGAAAGCGGAAAAACACGAAAATTTAGGAAACAAAAATTTTCTCCGGTGCATTGGTTGTCTCTTCTATGTTGGTGTATTTTTCTTACATCATATATGGACGTCCTCTATCAGAAAAAAAATATTCCAGTCGAATCCCGAACGGCCCTGCAGCCGAAAAAAAATAAAAACCTAAAAACTCATCGAAAAATAGGTGTAGAAGGTTCTTCACGCCTATGGAGTATTTTTTCCCTGAATGTATGAACGAAAACAAAATTTTTTTTTTTATTTGTTCACATCGGATGCGCCATTCAAAAGTTATGAATTTAAAAAAGCGCCAAGTAACTATTTCGCTGCGTTGTCGTTGAAAAATCTCTGGTGTTAGGAAAGAATAAAAGAAACATTTTCATAAAAATCTCATATCCCATTGGTTGATGGTTGATAGGAAAATATTCGAAAAAAAAAAGAGAAATAAGAAATAGCGCCAAGTCCTTGCGGCTAAATTCACTACAGTAAAGGATGATAGAACCTTTCATAAGACTGAGATACGAATCCAGCATCTTCCTATAATCACTTAAGCTGAATGTCCCAGTAACTGATTCTAGCCCGGTATCTGAACATCGTTGAATATTTAACGTTTTTCCTGAACCAGGGAATTTTTTATGATTCAATGTCACATATTGGTAGTTCATCACGAGGAACACATTGGGCAAACTCGAAGGGAATTGGTTCTTTGCCCAGAAAAAATGATGATGTTCTATATGTACGGTACTGGGTAACTGGGTCTCAGTTTCCAGCTACTGGGACATTCATTCACCTAATACGTTTGAAGGTTCTGCAAGTGCGGGTTATGAATGTCAACTCAATATTCCTAATTTCTAGTGGTCGCCGATGGGGACGGTGATAAAAAGTATAGTTATCGACACAATGTCGATCACAAACATAGGGAAAATATGAGTAGTTTATAAAAAAAATAATTGCTCAAAACATAGTCAGGACCAACGTACTTGGCGCGGTTTTTGATGTTTACACGAATGCTTCTATCTCTCGTCCTGAAATCTCTACTATAAGACTTTGGAAATTGCTCTACAACAAAATTCCTCGAGAAGCCGGCGGTGGATCGACATTCTCCATGTTCCATTTTGGGATATACTATTCATTAATTTATTTTTCCATTTATTTTTGGAGATATTTATTTCACTAATGTAGATAGATACAGCCATTTGTTTTTTACTGGATATAATAGATATTAGTTCAAAAGGATATAGAAAAAGAGAAGACAGATTTCAGCAACCATGGCCTACATTTCCAAGGCAATTTTACATATCGTAGAACTTCAGGAGATTTTAGCGCCCAAAGTAACCCCCAATTTACCCAATCCCCATTACAATGCATGTCTTCCACTTCCCCCGTCCTCAGTCTGACGGTAGCACGTAATTTTGGTGATAGAGTACTACTGGACTTTCAGGTTAATCACACTGTGCTGTTCCATGGTGCGAGAATTCTGGTGATGCCCAAAGTTTCCTCGGCATACACTCAAGAATTCGGGCACTGAGGTCACTCTGTAGAGAAGTGTATATCCATGGGGAAGAGTAATGAATGTAGAGGAAGTTTTCCTGCATGCAGAAAATTGATTTGACTCTGGCTTCAACATGAGGCTCCGAGTGTTCACATTGAGTATTTCAAAAAACCGCACCAAGTACGTTGGTCCTGACTATGTTTTGAGCAATTATTTTTTTTATAAACTACTCATATTTTCCCTATGTTTGTGATCGACATTGTGTCGATAACTATACTTTTTATCACCGTCCCCATCGGCGACCACTAGAAATTAGGAATATTGAGTTGACATTCATAATCCGCACTTGCAGAACCGTCAAACGTATTAGGTGAATGAATGAAGCTGAGACCCAGTTACCCAGTACCGTATATATAGAACATCATAATTTTTTCTGGGCAAAGAACCAATTCACTTCGAGTTTGCCCAATGTGTTCCTCGTGATGAACTACCAATATGTGACATTGAATCATAAAAAATTCCCTGGTTCAGGAAAAACGTTAAATACTCAACGATGTTCAGATACCCGGCTAGAATCAGTTACTGGGACATTCAGCTTAAGTGATTATAGGAAGATGCTGGATTCGTATCTCAGTCTTATGAAAGGTTCTATCATCCTTTGCTGTAGTGAATTTAGCCTCAAGGATTTGGCACTATTTCTTATTTCTCTTTTTTTTTCAAATATTTTCCTATCAACCATCAACCAATGGGATATGAGATTTTTATGAAAATGTTTCTTTTATTCTTTCATAACACCAGATATTTTTCAACGACAATGCAGCGAAATAGTTACTTGGCGCTTTAAAAGAAAAAAATTTTTTTTTGTGAGAGATTTCAGTTGTTTTTTAAATTATTTTCTCTATTCTTTCCTAATCAGCCAGAATGAACTATTCATAAAAGCACTCAGGAGTTTTTCGATGGTAATACATTTCCATAGCTTCTTGACGTGTTTACCATTGTTTCCATTGCATAGCATTGTTTGAGATTCAATCAACAATTCATCGATAAGGATAATTCTGGAAGAACAATGTCTCGAAATGATTATTCGCAGTTTTACTTTAACGAAGTTTTTTTTTTCAAATGAAACCGCTTTTTTCCTCATTTGGAAGTTATATAACGATGTAACAATATTTTATTCGACAATTATGGAAGCGGTAAGATTATTATCGTTATTTTTTTTCAATTATTCATTTCTTTCCTACTACCGTTACGGTTTCATAGACTCCCTAGTCATCTGCATTGTATCCTTCTGATGTTAGCTTGAATGTCCGTCGGAGCAACACCCAAGCGGTTGAATTAGTACATTTGAAATTTTGTTCTCTGCAAGCTTTCCGTAATTTGTTTTGTATGAGTTTCAACGGAGAATGAAAAGCATTGAAGTGAAAAATCCTATCTGGATATACAACGTGTAGCTGTAGTTGAGTTCCAATCCAAGGTTAGCGTCGCAACATTAAGTTATTATTTCGATTTGGATTTAGTTTGTTCCAAAAACAAGAGGTACACATCTTTAGAGTTTCTCGGCCATCGTATTTTTTTAATGCGTGAATCATCCACATGTATCCATTCGCTCTTTTTATCCTTTAACAAACTGGTATAGTGATCATTTATCTGAACATTGCAGTGTAACACGGCACTACTTACACAATAGGATTTATCACATACATTAACCACAGTAGTTGGAACTGCTTTCAGCTTCCAATTGCTTGTTTTCTGTTTTATATTTTTTTTGCTGCATGAGAAAATATCCATTTTGACTATGCCAACGGCTTTTGTACTGCTAATCTCTGTTTTACGTGAAAAGTTAGTGACTTGACTACAAGTATCACAATATTAAACAACGTCGGTCCAATGTAAGAGTGACTTCTTGATCAACTCATTCAAACTCTCCGGCTGCTTAGTGTCTTTCATTGAAGTCATTACAAAATTGTTCTCCTTATGAGTTTTCGTATAACTGCATGCTTTACATCGATCAACATGAATGAACTCTTGGTCGAGGAATTTTCGCAATTGTCCAACTTTGTTATAAATATTTTCCAAAAATATAACTGGATTCTGCTCGTTTTGAAGGCTCAGCGGTCCTTCTATGAACTGCCTCATCACACTTGCATCCAAAACCTCTGATCCTTTCAAGTATTTGCGAAGAAAATCACAGATGACTGCAAGCTCATCTTCGGGACTTTGCAGTATTTCGTGACATATGCTGGGAGAGCGGAAAATACATTGAATGACTGCGTTTGCATAACTGCAGTGGGCATCAACATTACTTAGACCATTAACGGATGTCTTAACATCATGTCTCTTCATATTGACATCCGTCGCGTCAATGAACCCAGTTTCGAAAGCCCATTGGGTGTCCCATTACTTCGGCCAATATTTATGAGGCAAAAGAATTTGGGTCAAGTCGGGTCTGAATTCAGCACGAAGTCTATTGTACTCTTCAATTGCTGCAATAGAAGCTTTTGCTGATGAGGGATCGAAATTGATCAAGTGAACTCCCTCTAACGTTGTTACTCTTGATAGGGCCACATATGTTTGACCGGAAGAAAATATTTTCTGCCCCACATCAATGACTGCATTGTGCAAACTCAATCCCTGACTCTTATGAATTGTGATTCCATAGCTTAAAGAAATTGGGAACTGTCATCTTTTAATATAAGTTTCATTCATAATTTCGAATTTCACGTCCATCCGCTCAATGTCACATTCTTGTCCAGAGGCCAGACGTATAGTGATCAACTTTATATGTTCTATAGCTTTATCAATGCATTTAACAACAGAAGTTACAATTCCAATCGTTCCATTGACCAGACCAATGGTAACATCAATGTTGCGCCTGACCATAACCTTGGCACCTATTTTAATTGTTATGATCTTTGCAAGACCAGCAGATGAACGGTCATCTTTTTCCGCCTTCTCAAGGATTTTCATAGCTGTCGCCTTCAGGCGAGGGTTACGACAATCTACTGAATCTTCGGCAATGAGAACAAGTTCATAAGTCGCTAGTTGCTCCAACATGACAGTATTCAAGCATTCACATTGTTTACGCGTAGCTAGTAAACATACAGCATCTGGAGGTAATTTCTTGATGTACGAGGATAAGAGACGAACTCGTTTGGCAGTATTCGTTGATGCAATATCGAATTTTCGAGTTTCTAATAAATTAATGTCTTCAGCTGTAATTGCACCAACTCGTAAACGAGCAAGGATATCCCCATAGGCTTGATCTTTTTGTTGACGCATATTAATGGTTAACTCATCGTACTTGAATAGATCTACCC